CCCCAAAACCCCAAAACCCCAAAACCCCAAAACCCCAAAACCCCTCGGCAAGTATAAAATATAGAAAAATGCATATTTGAGTCTTTTTGGCTGTTTTAGTGGCGTTTTTGGTTGGCCAAGGTAGCTTTTAGGTCCCTAATTTGTAGCTAATTGTGATAATCTGAACTATACAACCTGTATTGAGAATGATGATTGTAGTACTGGATGTTGAGAGAACTATTACTGCGCGGTTGTTGATAACTGTGAGTTGAAAGATGCAATAAAGACCTATGAAAACTCTCAGTATTGAGAGCTAGGCTCTCACTGTAGCTCTCTTGACAGGTATGGCTCCTTCTGACTCTTTAGCAACAAGTGATGCTACTTTGGTAAATGAAAGGATCGCCTAGAGTGTCTTATGTACGTCGAAGGACCAGCACTTCTATTCATCGTTGTTGGAGCAATGATTTCAGTCTTATTGGTCAAGCGAGCAACGAAGACGGCAGCAAAACTAGCAGGTATCTTGCTTAGCTTATTTTAGAAATTGAGAAGGAGAAATATGTGAATAAGCTTCAAGAGAAAATTATTGAAAGAAAACGAAAAGAGTTAGCTGAAATGAGAAGGAAAATCAAAGAACAAGAGGCTGAAGAAGCGAAAAAGCCTAAAGAAGAAATCAAAGAAGAGGGAAACACCAAGGTCAGTAATAGGTATGATGACAACCAAGATGATGAGGTAGGCTTAAGTAGACTGACTTCTAGTACAAAACTCTTGATGGCTACTTGCTTCAAAACCAAAAGAGTTCGAATATATTCGAAGATCCTAGAGAGCCTGACTTTAAAGTTGAATTTGAGACTAAGATTGCTCCTAGAGAGGAATTTAAGTCAAAGGAGAGTGAAAGACCCCAACTTGAGTCTGATCCAGAGATGAAAGCTTTACAGACTCCAAAGAAGCCCTTCGGTGACATCATTTCAAAGCAGAACGAAAAATATTTCAAGAAAATGAAGGACCAACTGAGTGTGGTTGATAGGAGTAAATTGAATTTTTAATTTCTTTCAATCTTGCATAACCTTTAGGGGTTTTGGGGTTTTGGGGTTTTGGGGTTTTGGGG